TTTAAATCCAAAGAGGAAATTTGTAAATGTCATTTCCCGTTCAACGTCAACTGTTGTTCTACGTCAAATTATGACCATTTTTTTTTTCTTCTCCTTCTCATCTTCTTTTTTATAACTTTGTTTATAGAATGAAACGTAATTAATGTGAAATGGTTTAAAATGATTATTGCCGTTTCTTTTTATGTAAAACCAATTGCTTAAAGCGATCTTCCTTTCCTGTTAGAAAGTTTAGCTATGTCAAATAAGATCGGACAGATTAACACGCTCATTTAACTCGGTTAAATTCAACCAAACTTGTTTTCCAAACTTCTCTTATTCTACTCTTTTCCCTCTCTTGTGTCTTCTACTAGCACAGCTCCTGTATTCGCATGGTTTTACGTACGTTCACATTTTACGAACTAACGAATTTTGAAAATGGAATAGATAAGAATACGATTATCCGCGTGGTATAAAGTTGGAAGAAAATCGAAGGATGCGAAAAGGTGATGCAATGACTAGGGGGACAATAATGATGATGATGATGATGATGATAATGTTATGGAGAAAGAGAAAGTAACGTAAGAGTTTTAAATTTATCGTTTGGAACTTTTTATTCGAGTGATTCCGTAGGGAGAACCCTATCAAGAAAGAAGACATGTTTGCTACTTCTTCTTCTTCTTCTTCGATTACCGAAAACACAGCCGGTCACCGTACCAAATTATCCAACTTTTTACCTCGTTCAATGCCTAATGACTTTCTCTTCTTTTTTTCTTTTAAATTAAACTCAATTTTTCTTCTTTTTCTTCTTCTTTTATTACCCCCTTTGTTATTTTCTTCAACTTTTTTTAAAAATAATTTTCTATGTACGCTTTGAGAATTCATCAATTCATGTAAAATTTCATTCGATTTAAATCAAATTTATTTTGATTGAAAAATAAAAAAAGGACAGAAATATTTGACGACGAAGTTGCATATAGGAAGTAAGTAAAAGGGGTGTGACCAAGTACTTTGGTCATATAACCCTTCTAGAATTCGTAGGAGGGTAGTTTGCTCCATAAGCTGGACGAACGAACGCTTTGAAGTCTTGCACGAAGGCCGAGCATAGAAAGTGGATGAGGTAAATTTGATTTCGTAGAAATTCCAAAGTGCAAAGTAGTCTCGAGTGTATGTGTGTGAGAGAGACAGAGATAAAGAGAGAGAGAGAGAAGAAGAAGAAAAAGGACGGAAAATGATGATAAAAGAAAAAGAAGGAATTACGGGAAAAGAGTGGGAATTACTTGCATGACCGACTACAAATGCAAGAATGCATCCTCGTTGAAAGTTCGTTAACGAAAACGTTACTCGATCCTCTTGAATTTAATGAATATTTAAAATGCATATTGGACAACACAATGGCAAATCTTTTAATTTTCCTCTGACTTTGTTCTTCCTTTTTTTTTTCCTTTTTTTTCTCTCTCTTGAAAAAGTACAATGACAAATTCAACATTTAAAAATAATTTCCTTCTCGTTCAATTTGATGTCTGTAAAATCATTTTTATAGCTACTCCTTTTTTTTCTGTAAGATTGTACAATCTATTACAATTATTATTAAGCTAAGGATATAAAATGAAACGAAATTTGTTTTCTCGAACGAATTTACGTCTCTTCATCTTTTAAATTAATTTTGCTTACCCACCCACGAAGAAAATGGTAGAACCGAAATAACGAAGCTTTCGGGATTAAACTACTATTAAAAGGGGACACACTTTAATTTGATTTTCTTGATTGCGGTATAGTAGGACCCAATCATATTTCGTTGAACAAATTTTGTACTTTTGTATTGCTAAAAAGTTCCTATTTACTTTTAACTTCTTTTTCCGTCTGAAAAAATAAAAAAAAAAAATAAAAAATTGAAAAAAAAAAGGAAATAAGAGAAATAAGTTGATAAGAGAATTTTTTGCAAGAGAAAATGAAAAAAAAAAAAAAATTAAAAAGAAGAAAAAATTCTTTCGCTCGTACAAGAGATTCGCCGGAGGTTAAAAAGTTCAGCTTTATCGTTGATAATAAAACATCGGTTCCGTCTTTCCTGAGAGACTTTTCCAATTCTCTCGTGGCCAGAAGAAGATTAAAACTGATCGAAACTACTTGCCAAAGTTCTTTTTTCGCCTTTTAAGATAACTCCAGTTCATTCGAATTCTTTTCTTTTTTCGATGGAACGTTTGTAAAAGCTCCTGTTAAATCACTGAACAATTCCACCGAGAATCTCTTCGATTTTTCGACAAAAAATCCATTTAAAAAAAACGTAAAAGAAGAAGAAGAAGAAGAAGAAATAAAAATTGTCGAGAGTAAGTTCAACCCTGTATTTTTGGATTATGAATTTTTCAACGAGAAACTCCAAATAGAATGAAGGTAAACGAAATGTTTGATAAAGGAAGAATCACTTGAAACAACAAATAAAAAAGAAAAATAGAAAGAAGGGAGAAAGGGAGAAAGATAAATAAAAAGATAAAAAGACAAAGAGGATTTATTTTTCAGTTTGTGGGAAATATCCGGGTATCTTTAGGGACGAAGGGTTATATTAGTGGAAATATATATATATATATATATACTACTGCAGCAATTCTACACACTGTAGGAGAAACAACCATCGTTTTCTCGTTCCTCTTTGTCTTTTTTTTTTTTTTCCTTTTTATTTTATACCCCTAGCCACAGTTCCTCTCTTGCAGCAAAGCTAATTGCCAGATCAAAGACCTACGAGTTTCCGAACTAACTCTCCACGCGACTTTAACTCGCAACCCTAACGTGCGAGCTTTGTGGCTCTTAAAACTTACTACCCTGGAACCCCTTCGACGTTTCTTTTTTTTTTTATTTTCTTTTTCGAATCATTCTACAACGATTTACCTTGAACACATATTAACGTTTCTTTTTCTATCCTATATTTTTATTTATTTTTTTTTTTTGATTCTTCTTTACAATTAATATCTCCTCTTTCACATAATTTGTCGACTTATAGAAAAATAAGTTGCTAATGAAGAAAAAAGAAAAACTTAGTAAGAGGGTAAAAGAATCGACTTATGCTCTTGTTGAAAAAGTAGACGCTTGTTTTCGACGACTAATAGTAAGACAAGAGGAGAACGTCTTGCCAGGATCATATTTCACGGCACTTTCACATAGGGTAGACGTGAAAAAGAGAAGAAAAAAGAAAGAAGAAGGAGAAAAAGAAGAAGCAAGACACGAAGCACTATCCGTGCCGAATTTTTCCCTACTTGTCGTCGTCGTTGAAGGGTGAAAGGAAAACCCAAAGGCCGTTCTCCTCCTATCTATTGTAACTCGTGAGAGAGAATGAGACAATAAAAGAGAGACAGACAGAGAGAGAGAGAGAGAGAGAGAGTGACAACGAAGCTAAGATTACCACAAGAGAGATGCCTTTTCCAAATGACATCACAGTCATTATCCTCAAATTTCCTTTATACAATCCAAATAATGATCAAATTAATTCCATCAGTTCTCATTTTCCCAAAATCCGATCCAATTGATCATTGCAAATATAATCAACGGAATCTAATAAATTAGTTATTTAATTAATTCAACATTTAATTATTAATATCCTGAATTTTATCAAAGTATATAAAATAGTCATAAATTCAAACCCTCATTCTATATTCTGTTGAGAATTATTAAACATTTTTTTTTTTTTAATAATAATCCATAGGAAGTATTAACTCTTTTAAACACGGTAGGATTAAAAGTATCCCACCTCTATGATACACCATAATGAATGGTTGAATATTTTTAATCCTATCTTGAAATATTGCAATAGCTATACATGCTCATAGGTTTATATTTCGTTATATATTTGCGTAAAATAGTTGAATAATATCTTTAATAAATGTTACAAATGTAATTAAAGTAATATACAAAAGAAATATATCATTTATAACGCAATAAAATGTCTCTCTACAACACAAAGCTATTTTATTATTTGAAATTCTGTGACGTAAAGAATTAATGGATAAAATAATTGAATAGATCGATCATCCTGTAGGAAGGGAAATTTACATGGGGCCAAGAAACGAAGCATTTAATGTTCTCTTTTTTTCACGTGTGCGTGTACGTGTATGTACGATGTTCCCTTTCTCCCACCCTTTATATCGAGCAAGACTTTGCGATCCTTCGTTTGTAAACACGTTTAAAAGGACGAGACTGTGGTATTCGAGGAGCTTTGCTCGAAGTTCTCTTGCCCATTCGGACCATTCTGAGTTTGTATGGCCGTTGCTGGCAACTTGTCTCAATTTACGGGAACGATGCTTGCATTCCGTGGACAGAGCAAACTCTCCCAAACCGAATCGCCAAACCACACCACACCACACCACCAGGCTAATTTATATTAATTTTAGACGCGTATATATTCGAATTAACACGCTACTATCCCGCGAGAAATCACGAGAAAACGTCTCCCAATGCTTTTCAAGCATTCCAGCTTTGAATTTGTTGGATGATGAAGAAGACAGAGAGAGAGAGAGAGTGAGAAAGAGAGAGGTATGCTTCTTCGTCTATGTGTTCCACTCTATCCTATATGTGTGAGAAACAAAAACAAACATATGAAAAGAAAAATAGAAAAAGAATAAGAATAAGAAGAAGGTACCGAGAATAAATCAAAGCGACGGGGCACGCGTTTCCTTCCTTCTCTTTTCGAAAAACCAACTAACTTGCTGGCTTCATTAATCTCAATCGCGGGGATGCGTTTCCTTGCGTTTTCATTTTCCTTTTAATCCCTCCATTCATACACGCTCGATTTTCCTTGATATCCGTTCTTTCATTTCAACCTAAATCAACATTCCAGTAAGTCCACTCTACAAATTGCTGAATTAATTATCCGTATTAACGTACGGGTTTACTACTATTACCAACTTTCAAACGATTTTCTCGATTTATCTAACTTTTCTTGTTTTTTTTTTCCCCTACTTATCTCAACGTTTCTGGAATGTTGTTAAAGTTTCCTTCATTTAATTTAATTTTATTTTTTTTTTATCTGTTTTTAGATATCCATACGTACTACTGGATCCGAGAACTCGTCTATTACTTGCATAATGGTTGCCTGTTGTTTATGGTAAGTATTTCATCAAATAATTATTTTCTTAATACATTGCGGAACGCTGATGAGATATCTCGTTTTTGATATTGCATCGCTAAGGGCCGTTGAAATATTACTACTATTACAAGTGATTAAAAATGTAATAAATATTTATACTTCATACGATCTAAATAAAGCTGTGATCCAACGATAATTATTCTTATGTGCTAATATTGTTTGAAGAAGATCAACTTTTTTTCTATTTTTTTTTTCATCATGTTTTATATTGATTTGATCAGTATGATTATTTTCTTTGAAAATAAATATTTAACTCATATAAATATTATATGAGAATGATTTGTAATAAAATTCCTGGTCCGCAAAGTGTTAAAATATTTATATAATAAAACATATTTAGAAATTAGATATTTTTTATGAACATTACCTAACAATTGAATTACGTTCTTCATTCATAGAATAGAATATTGTTAGAAGTTTGCATCTTCTTCTTGTTCTTCTTCTTCTTCTTCTTCTCTTGATTGAAGAATGATCGATCCCCATAACTCTCAAGGAATGTCAAGTAGAGAAAGCAGAGAGTTCAGATGTCGTAATTAATTTTCGGAAGTCGTTAACCGTCGCTTCCTTATCCAGTTATCCAACACCTAAATCAGTCCTGAAAGAAGAGACAAGCAGCCTACGTGCTTCCGCCTGTAGTCTCTTAAATCCTTCTTATCCCTTGAATTATATGCATCCGTAGATGCAACGCATAGATGAGGAAAGGGAAGGAGGTGGATAGTAGGTAGAGGAGGATAGAAAGAAGGAGAAGGTGGGGAGGAAAATAGAGAGTGAAATTTTATTTGAATTTGTACGCGTCGTCTATCCTAGCACAAGTTTCTTAGGTTCTTCGTAAAGATTGGAAATGGTCCAATGTTGTGTAGCAGACAGGAATGCGGACCCTCCTCTATCTCCCCCACCTCCTATTTTTCTTTCTTTCTTATTATTTTTCTTTTTTTTTTGTTGAAATCTCTAGAATCTCTAGTTCTCCATTCGTATATGTATATATCTATGGATAAACGGTGGGAGGTGTTAAATCACCGAGAACGTCGTCGTCGTCGTCGTCGTTCTGTCACAAACGTCAAGTGTCATGCCTTTGAATTATTTTCGAAATTTAATCTGCTTTTAATTCGCAATCAGATATAAACCTTTTAAACAGACGAATGGGGCGCTAAGTTAGCAACGATTAACGCGTCGTTCATTAGTTCAACTTTTTATTTTCAATATTTGTACGTTTTTTTTTTTTCACATTGGAATTTAGGAATTTTCACATTTGTCTTCGTGTTTGTTGATGATCGAAAATTTACGATATCTTTTTTTTTTTTTTTCATTGAACCCTTTCAAAAATATGATATCATTATCATTATCTTGATTATCATCATCATCAAAAACGCAACTCTGAAGGGAGCCAAAAATCAAAGATCGATTTGCGATTTGGTGACACTTACACGTAGCAGACAGATAAATGTATTGGTAGAAGGCGCCTGTAACGATTGCCAAGGAGTCCTAGACTCGTGATCACATGGTTAGACTTGAAGACGAAGTACTTTTTACCCGGATACTATTACACTTACACATTTACTTTACTTTCGTTCGTTCGTTCGTTAGTTTCTTCGTTCGTTCTGTCCAACTTCTATTCCTTACTTCCCGACACAAAGTAATTTCATGTTTCTAAGTTGAGAATACGTGTTGTTGTTACTTGACCTAGCTTAAAATATTTCAACAATTTTCGTTTTTTTCTTTCCTTTTCTATTTTTTTTTTTTTTGGTTCTCGTTAAGATCCTGATGCCAAATAACTTTTTTTTTGAGTTGCTCATAAAGAATACTAATTATCTTTAAACTTAACTAGAACGTATTGGCCAACGTTGGCACGAAACGTCAATCAGTATCCATCTGTTTAAATTAAATTCAAACTGAAATTATTCTCAAGCAAGTCTACAAATCACGACCTACTTTATTCGATAAAAATAATAGGAAAAGATTTTTGATATCATTTTTCGAGAATAGTCTTTTTTTACGTTTAGGATATCGATCAAACGAATAATTAATAAATTCTTCAAAAAATTCAACAAACGTTTAGCATTATTTGAATAAAACACAAATCTACATGCATACTATCGCTACGAAGATATTTTTTGGTTATTTGTTACATTTCGATTCGTTGGAATTTACGATTGATAGTTTAGTCTTTTTTGGCTGAATAATTCTCGTGTGTGAACCATTCGCAGTGTGATGTTACGTAATTGGTAGCAGGTGGCGAAACGACGGAAGGTGGTTGGCCCACGCAGAACCGACTTAACTGTTAAACTTAACGAGGAAAAAGAGTAAGAGAGGGAAGAACGGACGAAGAGAAGACGACGAGTAAAGGCGTCTGCGACGTTGGCTATAAATAATAGAAGGGGGAATCCCAAGGTGCTAGAAGAACTTCTTACTCGCCTATATATATATATATATATATACTTCACGAACAAATATACACTCGCTCATGCCAATTGCACTCTGATCTCGATCGACACTTTCAAATACTACTTTGCTTATTTCCACTCTTCAGGATTCGTCAATAATTTATAACTTTAAGTTGCATTCTTATGTTCATCCTTTCTTTTTCTTATTTTCTTTTCTTTCCCTTTTATTTTTTTAAGGGATTTGGCCACTAAAGAGCCCGAAAAATAGGCTTCTTTGTGATTTTTTTTTTATTCTTTCAGGAAAAATATACTTTGAAAAACAAGTACTTAGAGATATTTTCTAACCCGATCGTTTGGGATATCATTTTTTAGGTCCTCTACGGGACCATTTAAAACAATAAAAAATAATTTAGATATTTTGAAAATCCTATAGTGGATTATAGTTTACCCCTTAACTCATTTACATCATGATTATAATTAATCTTCCTTGTTTCAAACATCCGCAATATTATAAATTGACGACTGACTCGATATCAACACTCAAATACTCACAGATATAAAAACAAATACTTTCTATGCGGAATATTTTGCATTCGGTGATAACGGAAAGTCATTTGCTTGCGGATATATTCGGGCTTGCATGCAAATTGGTTAAATGTAAATAGAAGGATTCAGCCCAAGGGACGTTCACCCTCGTCGATCTAGCAGAAATATTTCAACGATGGCCAAACTCTGCAAAAACGCATAGTAGGTCGGAAAACAAAAGGGCATGGAAAACTGAAATAGACAAAAAAAAAAAAGAAAAAGAAAAGTAGAAGGGAGAGTCAGCAGGAATAATACGAAACTGCTTTGAATGTCGCGTCATTTCTTTCCTATACTTTTCGTATTCCTCGTTGTGTTGACGACGACACGAGTATGCAGTGACCCAGATTGGTAAAACGAAACTGCTCAAGACCAAACCCACACATCCCTTTTTCTCCCTGGCGCTTATTTTTAACGATTTTCAGTCGTTCTTACTACTTTCTTCCATTCTTACGATTTTCCTTGCTGTGGGTGGTGTAGGAGTAGATGTCTAAGGGGTTCCCTTCTTTCATTTTTCGTGTTCGTTCAACTCGTGACATTTAACGGAACTCCTTCATTATGGGGAACTTCTTCTTCTTCGCTTCTTATTCTTCTACTACTTCTTTTCTTCCTATTTCAATGAGGCCTTGAAAAATTCATTAAACCAAACGATTACTCAAAGGAAACTTTTCTTCCCTAGAGAGAGAGAGAATTCTCTAAAACGTCAATAATGAAAGAGAAGGAAAAAAAGGAAATAAAAAATGTCGAAGAAAACGTCATAGTACCATTTATTGCATTATAAAAATAAAATATAAAAAAAAAAATAGAAATTAAAAAGATCAAAATAACCGGGAGTAACGTAGAACTACTAGTTCTGTTTTGCCCTCAATTAGGAATTTCGCTGATGAGAATTATGAAAGTTCAAAGTCTACGAAACATCGAAAGGTCGTTGGTGATAATGTCTGTATCGTGTTCATCGGAATGCAAGAGAGAGAGAGAGAGAGAGAGAGAAAGAGAGTGCAACAAGGCAACTCGATGACTCTAATCGACAAATTCCACTCGATAATTGCAATAACCTTCGAGAGCATCCACTTCTCTACTCTTCCAACGTTCCTGGTAAATACGATATGGGAGTAGTAGTTCATTTGGGATCGGTTTATTTATCAAGATACTTCATCTTGTTTCTTTTTTTTTTTTTATAATGTTGTAACCAAGATCGACCTAAAAATGTAGGATGACTTTTTTGTGTAATTAAAAATTTACTCGACGTTTGAGATTAATGAGAAGTTTCAAATGAAAATTTAACTTAAAGAAATCATATCTTTGAACAGAAAAATAATGATTCTTGTCATTTAACCTGAAAAAAAAACTAATCCTTTAGCAAGATTTATGTTCGCGAATATCACGTAACAACACGTTTAATAAACCTCAGAATGAAAGATATTGCAAAGCTTTATTCTAGAAATATATCCGCATTACCATCAGCAATATAAACTCCTCTATTCTCTATCTACTCTTTTCCAACTTTTGTTGCTACGAGCTAGAAAGACATTATCGTTTATCGTAAACGATGGATCCCTCAGGGTAGTTTCCAAGACAACCGAGGGTTAAATTCGCATCTCTTGATTTTCCTTCTACGTTTCGTTCATATCCCGTGAGGCAAGAAAAAAAAAAGTATACTTAAAAGAACTATACCCAAGTAGAACGAAAAATAAACAGAATTCCTCTCTCGATTGCTCAATTTGTCATTTTGCAAAAAAAAAAAAATAAATACAAAAAAGAGAAAAGGAAAACCTGGAGAAGATGCACTAAACTGTCCGTTAGGGTTCTATTTTTTTTTTTTTTTATTATTATTTCTCTCTAAACCCCAAAAAAGAAAAAAGAAAAAATCGTTTAAATTTTGTGTTGTTTCTTTTTTTTTCCAGACAAATCTGGGGTTGGTTTTAAGTTTGGAAAAAGTGTCCGGATTCGTTCCGGACGAGGTTGTCCTGGTGTTTAGCGGTGGTGGCAGTGGAGAAGGTGAGGGAGGAAGGAGGGAGAACCAAAAGGAAAGAGGAGCGAGGTTAAAGTACGTTATTATCAGGTGAAATTCGAGAAATCTCTTGTCCAAAGTGGCTAAGAGCGTAAGTCCCCGTCGAGTGCACCAAGAGTGCTCCGGGGTGGAGGCGCAGGTGCAGGTGCAGCAAGAGAGGCGAGCACCGAGGCGCATGCCTCACCTGGGGCCTGACATGACAACCCGGCTGTCCGCCATGTTTTACACGGTCGAGGTCGGGGACACCAAGTTCACCATTCTCAAGCGATACCAAAATCTCAAACCAATTGGTTCTGGTGCTCAGGGAATCGTCTGGTAAGTTGAATTTCTTTTTTCTTTTTATACAATTCTCATCATCATTTCAATCATTGTCATTTATTTCGAATGGGAGGGTTTTAATTTTTAGAAACGTGCACACACACACACACACACACACGTTTTGCTTTTATAATTGGATCAACAAATTGTCAATTGTCAATAATAGCGAATTCATCAAAATATTCAAGATAAATTATATCTGTAGACTGTTATTCTTATTTCTATATACTTTGTTAAATCCTGGATTGAAGTAGACTTAGAGAAGAGAGAGAACTGGGTTTTGTCGTAAATGCGATTGTTTGTTGATCCAAAATCCAAACGTAATGCGTTTAACTGAGCTTTATTGTTAGTGTTTCTCTTTCTCTCTTTCTTTCTTTCTCTCTTGTTGAAATCGATTAAAGATGAAGTAGGTAAGTTGTGTTTAGTGTGTCTTCTTTTGTTAGTTATTCCTTCTTTCTCTTCCTCTGGCACTGATCTTTCTTTCTCCAAGCACTTTGAATTATTCTTTAGACAAGGAGAGATGTATTTGGTAAGTCCTAAAGAATATACGGATATTGGTTTTCGATGAAATTCAAGCACTAGAGTCTTCGGCTAACAAAAAGGTAAGTTTTAGGATGCAATAAGATCGATAGCACATTCAATGGGAAAAAAGCTTCGGGGAAAATTGCCGATCAAGTCATCTTTTACGGCTATGCCTTTTCTTTTAACTTAAACCTTAAACCATAGAATATAAAACCTATACAATGTCGAGGATTTTCGATTCATCGATCGGTTTGATAAAAAAAAAGGGAAAGAAACTACTTCTTATTCTTCTTTCTATGTTTCTTTTTCTCTATTATCCGATATAATTTATTTTTGTTTATTTTATTTCTTTTAATTCTTGCTATCATTTTCGGGGTACATTTCTTTCTTTCTTTCTTTCTTTCTTTCTTTCTTTCTTTCTGAAATTATTAAAAGATAGTTTAAAAACAGTGTAAATGTGTCGTAAAACGAGAACCATCCATACTTACAATTCTATTTATTGTTAATAATATTTTTAAATTTATGCACGCTTCTTTTAACATAATTAATATAATAACGAGAATCGTGTAACAAAGATCAATGTCTAGGATTACTAACACCAATCATATAACACCTCATTTATCTTCATTTATATTAATTTTAAGTTTATCATATGTATATTTTTCATTATGATTATTATTTTTATGATTTGATTATCTTATTGCATGGTTTTTGGACCCATCCGAACGATACACCTTTTTTTTACCAAACTTTCAAACTCTGTCATTGATATTTCACAAAATTTCAAACAGATTTGCAATAGAATATCTGTTATTGAAATGAAAGAAAAAAGACAAAAAAATAAACAAAATGTATGGATGGTTCCGACAATCAGGCAGGATCCTGTCATTCGACAAAGAGAATTGACAAGTAGAAAGAGTGATTAATTTTTTAATTCAGTAAAAAACAACAAGAAAAAAAGAAAATTAAAAAAAAAAAAATCAAAAAATAAACGCAGAAAAAATAATGTCATAAATTCTTTTTGTCAAATAAAAAAAAGAAAAAAAAAAAATAGAAAAAAGGTTAAACGTTTTTACGACCACATTTTCTTTCCCTTTGTATCTTGTTGTGCTTGTCGTTGGTTTGGTAGCTAGAACTCTGCACGTATATCTACTAGTTAACGTACGAGCCAAGTTCGAGCAAAAAAGGGCGAGAGGAAAGGGAAAGAAAGAAAGAAAGAAAGAAGAAAGGAATATTAGGCAGTTAAGGTATGGCTAACGCAGTACCTGCAAGCACAATGGAACCTGCCAACGTTAGAAGTGGTTATCGTCGTCATGTTTTCGGTGATACCGAACTTTGCATACCTGAGAGATACATTGACGTCGAGCCACGTGGCGTTGGTGCACAGGGTGTCGTTTGGTGAGTCGTTTTTATCATTGGTATGTTTTTCCTCTCGTTTTTGAGTTTATTTTTCGTTTTTTAGCCTTAAGCCGTCTACCCAATGGATATTCATTTACAAATTTAATATTATTTATATCATAGAAATTGTTTACCTCATAAAATACGTTCATTCAATGTTTCATATCGTTTTCCATGATGTTTTTTGTTACAGTGCTGCATACGACACAGTAACGGCGCAAAATGTGGCGATTAAAAAATTGTCAAGACCTTTTCAAAACGTGACACATGCTAAAAGAGCCTACAGAGAGTTCAAACTCATGAAATTGGTCAATCATAAAAATGTAAGTTATTATTTATATTCATTTAATATATTATATTAATAATAATAATATATTGTTTATATTATATTATAAAGAAATTACAATCCTTTTAGTTTACTGGCAACCCCCTTTATGTGGGTCAATCTCGTTCATACTTTCCAACTATATATTATATATATATATGCACATATATGAGATAATTATAAATTTTTGGTAGAGAATATCTTCGCGTGATGATTCCTTCGAAAGATAATCGCTCTGAAAAATCTTTATATAGTTACACTTAAATGATTTATCTTACAGATAATCGGTCTTTTAAACGCGTTTACGCCGCAACGGTCGTTGGACGAGTTTCAAGATGTGTATTTGGTGATGGAACTTATGGACGCGAATCTGTGTCAGGTGATCCAGATGGATCTGGATCACGAACGTATGTCTTATCTGCTATACCAAATGTTATGTGGTATCAAACATTTGCACTCAGCCGGTATCATTCATAGGGTAAATAATATATTTTCATTTTTTGCAAGACATTTTTTTTGTCGTTAAATAAATCATTGTGAATTCGTTAATAAAAAAGACAAAATTATGCATTGTTGATTGTTCTTTTTAAATAACAGGATCTAAAACCAAGCAATATCGTTGTCAAATCAGACTGTACGTTAAAAATTCTCGACTTTGGTCTGGCGAGAACTGCCGGAACAACGTTTATGATGACACCATACGTAGTAACGCGGTATTACCGAGCGCCTGAGGTAAGTCAAATAATTCATCAAATTTCATTGAAAGATATTTTAATTTTAATTTTAATTTTAATTGTAAGATTATTTTATTTTAAAAGAGAATGAGAGAGATTGGTGTAGAACGGCCTTTTTACAATAATTTTCATGAATTTTTATTAACACAAAGAATTTATATAATTTTTTTTATATTGTTAGGCAAAAAAAAGAAAAAAAAAGTTGAATATGTTGAAGCCTCTAAATCTATCTGTTTAAATATTAGAAACTTGGATCATGTGGTTGTGTTTGATTATTGACGAATGACTATAATAACGTTACTTTTATAGGTGATATTAGGTATGGGTTATAAAGAGAACGTGGACATATGGTCGGTAGGATGTATCATGGGTGAAATGATCAGAGGTGGTGTACTTTTTCCTGGTACCGATCACATCGATCAATGGAATAAAATAATTGGTGAGTTTTTTTAATAGATTAATCGTAAACGCCCTTATTCTCTTATAATTGTGCCCATAATATATGAAAGTGGTTTAAGTCAAGAATTAAAAAAAAAATGGGTTTATCAGTTATTTTACATCACATTTTATTTTAAATTAAATAAATTCAATGTAATTTTCACGATATTGTCAAAAATTCATCGTTAGATATAGTATTTGTTTTATTTCAATATTAATATAGAATTCATTTAGTAAATAAACCTAATTGAATAAACTTATATTTTTAAGCAAACATTTTGAATTGTAAATCATTTATTTATTTATTTTTTTTTTTATTTTTTCTATATATAATTGTAGAACAACTGGGAACACCGGCGCAAGAATTCATGCAACGGTTGCAACCAACGGTAAGGAATTACGTGGAGAACAGACCGCGATATCCTGGATATCCGTTCGACAGGCTATTTCCGGATGTTCTGTTTCCCTCCGACTCGTCGGAGCATAATAGATTAAAGGGTGAGTAGGTCAGCGAGTCGTCGGCCCTTATTCCTAGAGTTAATCGATCGCCGTTTTTACATGACGAAGAAGAACCAACCACCCAAACCACCCACCAACCCTCCTCCTTCTTCTTCTTCTTCTTATCGAAATCCCCCATATCATAAATTTCTATTTCTAGATTATTTTTACTTAACCCATTACCCGCCACAATAAGAAAATACAACAACAAAAGAATTAAATTAACTTTTTCTTGTATTATTATTTTATGTATGCCATTGTAATGTGGTAATATTTTGTTCGTTGTTATAATTCACTAAATAATTTAGAATTATATTAAATCAACATTTAATAACAAAGCCACAACAACGCGTAGCTTGAGCATCCTAGTATTATAATATTTAATTATTATACAATAATTATAATATTATTATTTTCTTTATTATTATTTTGTTGTTTCTCTTATATATTACAGCAAGCCAGGCTAGGGACCTATTGTCGCGCATGCTCGTAATCGACCCAGAACGACGCATATCCGTCGACGACGCGTTGCTTCACAATTACATAAACGTCTGGTACGACGAGGGTGAAGTCAATGCTGTAAGTATCGATCGATCATAATCGATCATTCGCAAAAAATGATCACACCACACTCTTTTTTTATAAAAAAAAAAAGACAAAAAAAAAGCATACTAGTAGTGATCTTTATGTTTTCTTTCTTTTATTATTTTGTTTGTGTATATTTTATTATTTAGCCCGCACCTGGACCATACGATCACAGCGTGGACGAAAGGGACCATGGTGTAGATCAATGGAAAGAACTGATCTATCAAGAGGTCATGGAATACGAGACAAGCCATAATTCGGCAGCGGTTGCTGCACCACCGGATAGTGCAGGCTCCCGGTAGATACAGCGAAACTTCTTTTCCTCGAAGCTTTTCTCCTACATTTAGAGAAGAGAGAGATTTGTTTTAAAACAAAAACAAACAAAAAAAAAAACAAAAAAACAAAAAACAAAAAAATTCAAAAAGGAGAGAAGTCTTGGTGTCGTATGAGATAGAGAAAGAAATAAATATTAGTAGACTGCTACTGAAATTCTCACTCTCTTTCTCTCCTCTCTCTCTCTCTCTCTCTCTCTTTTTTCTCTCGTATATTCTCTCTCTTTCTCTCTCTCTGTTTCTCTTTCTACCGATCCTCGTGCCCATCGTTCTCAAAGTGTTTGACAAATCAGACTAGCGACAAATCTCTAAAAAGATAAAATAGAGAAATTCCTCCTTAAAAAAGAAACAAAATGTAATTTGAACTTGAACATAAGTTACGAATAAATTGAAATAATTTGGACGAAGAGGAGGAAGACCTAGAGAGAGCAAAAATTGTCCATTTTGTACTTTTTTCTTTCTTTTTTCTTTTTTTTTTTCGTTGCTTTGTTCATTCTAAGAAATAATCAACGTCAATGAACGTTCGACTACGTTATTTATTATTTAACACATCTATCTATCCTATCAATACAAATATATATATATATATATATATATATCTGTTAAATTTTCGTTGGTCACGTGTAGACGATAAAATTTAGGATCTTTTTTTAGATCGAGAGAGAGAAAGCAAATAGAACATTATTACAGTCTTCTTCTCACTAATGATCGAAATATTAGTAATCTCTTCTATTTAGAAAACGAGTTTGATTCATTTTTTTCTCAAAGCTCGCTCTCTCTTTCTATCACCCACACACACACACACACATACCACACACATATTACACACATTATCTATTTCTCTCTCTATCTCTTACTCTATCTTCTGAAAATAAAACTTTTATCGTAAGATATGGGGAGAAAATATACCAAAAATAATAATAATAATAATAATAATAATAATAATAACAAACATTGAAGAAAAAAAAAATTAGAAAAGAAAGAAAGAAAGGAAGAAGAAAAAGACGAGGATATAAAAAAAAAAATTGTGTAATTCTGTAATAGTAAAAAAAAAAAAATTAACCATAGTCTTATAAAACGTGCTTTCCAGAGAGAACAAAAAAAAATTAAAAGAAAAATAATAATAATAAAATAATAATAAAATAATAATAAAATAAAATAAAATAAAAGAAAAATGTGGATCGCGCGAGGTGAACGACGAAGACGATTGATCGATTGATTGATATTCATCGATCGTCCATGATTAATTGAAAAGAAAAGAATAAAAAAAACAGGAGAGAAAAAAAAGAAAAAAAAAGTAATAATAATAATAATATATGAAAGCATTGTTTTTTCGTTCTGTTTCGTCGTCGTTGGACCTTGTGTGTGTGTGAGTGTGTGTATGTATGTGTGTGTACATAAAGAAAAATTAATATGACAGAGGGTGGGCCGTCCGAGAGCATGTTCAAAGTCTAATTAATTTGTCTTCTTCTTTTTTCTTTTTTTCTTTCCATTCGTATTATACAAATTTTAAAAATAATGAAAAGAAAAATGCTGCTTTCTTTCTCTCTCTCTCTCTTTCTTCTTGTCTATTTCTATTTCTATTTCTATCTGTCTCTCTCTCTCTCTCTCCCTCTCTCCTTCGATTTGTACGAATCATTTCGAATGAATTAAAAAACAAGCCCCTGACTACCACCCGCCGCCATGGCTCATGTAATAAACCGTCGATAACATTGTATATTTTTTATCAAGCCCATTTTTTATCGCGTGAAAACAAAACAAAAAAGAAGATATTAAAGAAAATAATAGGAAATGAAGAAGAAAAAGAAGAGCTCGTAATATCGGCGTTAATTAAAAAGGGCGCGAGTGAATATCATGTGAATTATATTTTAAATTGTTTTCTTTTTTAAAGAAATAATAATAATATTATTATTATTATTATTATTATTAATTATTATTATTATTATTATATGAAACAGTGCAATGAAAATTGTTCAAGCGTGTGCTTTGCCACGGTGTTTTGCGATCATACTTATCGTTAGTGAATTAGTTGATAAGAAATGTATGATTATACATTTATATGTAAATTTATAAATATATATATATACATGTATATATATATGAGTAAATTTACTTATACACGTATATATTTCCTTGTGCAATCACATTCGACGCAACGTTTTAGAACGAGATTTCCCACAACCCCATCCTCCTTCCCACCACCCTAATCCCCAGTCCCTTATTCGAGAAAAGAAAATGCGAATGAAATGTTCGCATAATGTGTACCTCGGATAATTATTATTATTATTATTAATTGTGTCGTACGTAGAAGAGATGATTTAAGGGAAATAAAATAAATAATAAAAATATTTAAAAAATAAATAAATGAAAAAAAAAAACATTAAGTAAAGTAAAGTAATCTTAAACATTAATAGAGGAAAGAGAATTAATAATAATTAAAATAATAATAATAATAATAATAATAGTAATAATAATAACAATAATAATAATAATAATAATAATAATAATAAATAAAACGTGGCAATAATCGGCGTATCCAAAATTGTTTTTTTGTCGACAACGATCATCTAGAAGATTGTGCTATAAGTGAAATTACGATCAAAGATCATTGATAAGAACAATAAAACAACATCATTGTTACAAACAAACTAATAAACGCGATGATGGGTTTTTAATGCATAATATGTGTATGTAATATGTATGTATGTGTTTGTGTGGATATATTATATACACACATACAGACACACGCGTATATTATTATTCATTATACTATATTACTATTACTTTTTGTAGTATTTTTTTTTCTTTCTTTCTTTCTTTCTTTCTTTTTATTTCTTTTACAAACCAAATTATCATTAAAGTAAAAAACGATCGATCGATTCGTTGATTTCTTACCAGTTACAACTCTTTCTAATTTCGATATACTCTTATTTAATTGATCGCTAAGCGATTTTGAAAATGAAAATAAAAAGAAAAACAAAAAAAAATTGATATTGTTAATCATTGAGAATGAAATAAAGAAGAGAAAAACAAATAAAATAAAATAAAAAGACATTTGTGATCGGATGACGAGGGAGTGATGGGGTGGGGGTGGGGTGAGGGGTAGGATCGATGCTGATTATACGACGACCGTTTTTGAACGATTAATTCGATCATATTGATATTGATATCGATAGTGATGAATAATGATAATGATTACGACGATTATATGATAATGATAATAATGATAATGATGATGATGATGATGATGATGATAACGACGACGATTACGATGATCATTATTATACGAATAATTGTATTTATTACATAACGGATGGTTGAGATTAGCAAGGTAAATCTAAGTAAGATGTACATATACATATACACATATACATATATATGGTATATATGTAAACGTGATATGTATGTATATGTATATAGTATATTTAATCGGTTACGTTGATGATGACGTGAATGATTGTAATGTAAACGTTGAATTTTTATTTTCCATGATGATGATGATGATGATAATGATGATAGTTATGTGAATATACCGCTACAGTCCGATCCAAATAATCAAGCTTTTGTAACACTAATTATTAAAATAAAAGGTAATGATGATATTGCTAATCACGTAATTGTATCGCATACGGTAATTAAAAAGTTAAGGATTAAAATAAAGAAATTAATTAATTAATTAATTAATTAATTAATTAATTATCGGATAATACGAATAGTGAGATTGAGAGGTGAATACTCTTATAATAATAATAATAATATTAATAATAATAGTATAATAATAATAATGATAATAATAGCACGATAATGATAATAATAATAATGACGATGATAATGATTATGATGATTATTATAATGGTGATGATAATAATAATAATTGAGAAAGATAAAATAAATGAATAAGTAAATAAATAAATAAATAAAAATAAAATTGAATGAAGCGAAGAACGATTGAAACGATGAACCAAAAATCTTTAAAAATTCAGCGAGGTAAGTCGCTGTTGTGTGCTTTGATTAGAAAGAAAAATCGCGCCAATTTTTCTCTCCGCTCCTGTTATACAAATGTAATAATCATATTCTCATTTATGCGCCTTGTCGTATATTACCTACACAAGTATCACACGTACTTATTAAACTAATAACAACACGTAACAACACATACCAACAAAAATCGAATACAGATAAAAACCGAGCTTTGCGAACACATACAACACATACACACACACTCATTTTTACGAAAGTAAGAAAACGCGAATTTATTACATGTAAAACTGAATTATAAAAATATACAAAAACAAAAAAAAAATTGAAGCCTTTTGCGCCTTTTTTGCAAATTTTCTCTAACGCGAAAAATATTTGCTCTCACGTATTTTCCTATTTTTATTATACACATATAAAATAATGAAAAAGGAAGAGGAAACAAAAATAATGCACAAATATAATATAAAATGAATCTAACGAAAAAAAAAAAAAAGAAATGAATAAATAAATAAATAAAACGAGCATGAAGAAGAAAAAAGAAGGAAAGAAAGACAGAAATAATTTTTAAAACAAAACGACGAAATAAATAAAAGTCGTTCTCCCGTTTTAATAAACTCGACGTCAATTAAAACAAGCTGACCGACGAATGCTAATTAGCAAACAAGAAGTAAAAAAGAAAAAGAGACAAAATATTATTTAACTCTCTCTCTCTCTCTTTCTCTCTCTCTCTCTCTCTCTCTCTCTCTCTCTCTCTTTTCGTATGACATACGCATTTCCACAGGGTACTTTGAGACCATATTCGCCTCTTTTTCGCCATTCTACCTCACACACACACGCACACACACACACACACACACACACACACACTACACGCGCACCACACGCATACACACATATTAAAACATATTACAAGACGTGCTCATACACAGGGTGTCCCACTGCGAAGAAGAGATAAATTAATTAATTAAGAAATTAATTAAATAATAAATAAATACACAAGAAGAAGAAGAAGAAGAAGAAGAGGAAAGAACTGAGTAAAAAATAAAAAAATATAACGAGGAAGAAATTTTGTGGAGAAAAAAAATTTTAAGGATAAAGAAAAAGAAAAAAAGACGATTTTTTTAAAAAGATAAAATGAAAAGGAAAAAAAAAACAAATTAAAAGAGAGAAATTAAATTAATAACAACAAAATGATGCTATTTTTCCAAGCGAATGGTATAAACGACGAAGAACGAATAGAAAGAACACAAACGAACCAAAAAAAAAGACACAAACACAGCCACACACATATAAATACACACATACACGCGCGCGCCTCTCTTTCTTCGCATTTTTGAAGGACTCGGTGAACCGTGATTCCTTAAAATTCGTCCAGCTCCCATGAGCCAGCACAATCTTCTTCTTTATTAAAATGAATGATTAATAAATGAAATGATTAATAATAAAAAAAAATTAAAAAAAAAAATAAGAGAGCCAATCTTTATTCGAAGGAACGAATGAACGCTGTGAGATTTAATATTTGCGATCTTTCTTTCCTATTTCTCTCTCCCTCTCTCTCTCTCTCTCTCTCTCTCTTTCTTTCTCCCTATTTATTGTATTGTATAAAAGAAAAACAATAAGAACAAAAAAAAAAAGAATGAAAGAAAGGAAGAGAAAATTGGAATAAGAAAATTGTTGAGGCTTTTTCTCTATGAGCTAGCAACGAATCCATTCATGGATTCCTACTACTACTACTACTACTACTAATATTATTACTAC